CGCCGAGCCGCGCCCCGCCCCGGCCCGCCCCCACGGGGCGTGTCTCGGGACCTCGCCCAACTGGGCGGGGAACGTCAGGCTGAGCCGTTCCAACGCAACTAGGGACCTGGGGACGCCCGGGATCGCTTGGGGTTGCAGCGGTTACCACGTCTAGTCGGGGACGCACCATGCTGAGCCGGCGCCGCGTCTTTGCGGTGGAGCGACTTGGCAGCCGGGGTGAGTCGCGTTGCCTCCCACCTTGGGGTCGCCTCCGGTTCTCTGGCCCCGCGCGGGCGGTGCCAACCGGCCGCGCCCCCTCGTTTCCTTGCTTTGAAGGAGGCCAGCCAGTGAATAGGCTGGAGACAGTGCAGATCCTCCTGGACTTGCAGGTTAATCACCTACTACCCGCATCCTACTGGTCCGTGGGCTCCTTCCCCTCTAATTCCCAGTGTGCAGACTTCTTCTACCCGAGGTTGGGTGACTCCGATACCCTTGCCCCAGCCAGCAGTCCTGGAAGCCCCTCAGCGGGCACAAACTCATTTCCTGGGGAAGGTTGCATGGTATAGGCTTCCTCGTCCGCTTCCTGACCCACAGGGGATGGGCTGGCATCCTTTTCCCGCCAAGGCAGCCCTAACTTCTGCCGGATTCTAGTAGAATACCCAGACCACAGTGAGGCCAGGTGTAAAGATGCTGATAAATAGATGGTAGCCAGAAGAGTGTGGAGGTTCATGTCTATAATCCTAGCATTTGGGAGGCCGAAGCAGGAGGGAGTTCTAGGGCAGTTTGGACTACAGAGTAAAACAGTTTCAAAGATAAAAGTCGGCTTCCTTGTTTTCACTTATTTATATCTTAAAGTTGTTTTTTTTCTTAAAGAATTTGGACTTTTGTGTGTTTTACATGAGTGGACTGGCCAGGGAGATTAGAAGAGGGAGCCAGATCCCTTGGAACTGGAGTTGTGAAGGTCCATATGGGTGCTGGGAATCCAGCATCCGTCTTGGGAAAAAGCGGTGCCTTAAAATACTGAGCCATCGATCCAACCCTGTTTTTTCCTTTTTGTCACACGATCCTTCTTTCTTAAAAAGACAAAAGCCCCAAATGATTGTAGTTGCTGTCACTCATTGTTTTTGTTTTGCAGTGTGCGGATGGAGACCAGTGCCTTGTTCATGCTTTGAGAGTTGTCAGTGTGTCACATCCCAGTCCCAGCTGCTGTTATTATTTTTTTTTTAATCACAGTCCCCATAAACTCCAGGAGATAGCTCATCCTGCTTCCTGATGTGTTAGGGGCTCCAGATGGCACTGTCTGGCCCCAACCTTCACCTTGCCCTTTCTTTCTCTCATATCCAAGGCTCTCCACCTAGACTTGGACATTTCAGGCAGATCCTAATTAAGGGCTTATTAATCCATCTGCATTTCCGATTGTCACAACTTGCAAGGACTTTGTCTCCCACATGCCCAAAGTGTCGGTTCCTGTCTATCGTTAACAATTGTTATAAAGAGAACCCCATTCTTCCAAGCAAGGGTAGAGCCTTTTCCCAATGGGGCTGTGGATGGTTTGTGTCCTTCTCTCCACTGGTACAGGACACACCTCCTCAAGTCCTCAAGGAAATGCTGCCAACTGCTAGGAATGCTGGGGGCGATGAAGGCAGCCTGCCCAGCTTGATCCTGACTCTCCTTACAGATGGGGCCTTTGAAGACCTGGCACAAGGTTGTGTGGTGCCAGGAGTCACCTGTACCTACAGACGGATACCAGATAAAACCCATGGATGCTCACTGGACTTCGGGGAGGGACAGATGCCACTTCTGAAACTGGCTTCCCAAGACTCGGGCATGGAGATGGTGGTTGGGGATAGCCCTTTGGCTACCTTATCAGGACTTTCTCAAGATTCTTTGAACCTTGAGCCCACGGGGAGCCCTGAGCTGCCTTCTGTCCAGCTAGACCGGCTGCGGGCCCGAAGGAAACTGGACCAGGTGCTGGAGAGGTCTCAAGAGTTTCCCAGCTTGTCTGGACAGCGGCGCCACTCCCTGCAGCTGCTGAGCAAGCCTGTAGGTGGAGTGCCCATCTTTGCAGGGGAACTAGAGTCCACTGAGGCAGCCACTGAGCTAGAAGAAGCAAAGGTGGTGAGTATTCATCTTGGCTGAAGACTGGGGTGGAGAAAGCCCCGCCTTGGGGCTTGTGGGGACTCTCACCACATTTCCCCTGGAGCTCTTTCGAGGTGGGGCATTCCTTGCCCTTAATTGATGGTTGTGTCACTGCTTCTTGCTTCACCCTGAACCCAGTGGTATGTAGCCACCTCCACAGAGGAAGTAGACAGGTATGGGTGCCATGCTCAACTGGGTACCAGGGAAGTCAGCCAGGGAAGTCTTCCTCAGCTTGCATGCTGTCCCATTTTGTTGGTTCAGCATAGCCTGACCACCCAGAATGGGAGTCTTGGCTGAATCTAGAATTCTTCCTGTCTTAACATGTCCCACAGGTGGGTGATGTGGAGTCTGGAGCATTGACCTGCCTTCCAGGGCAGGGTTTACGTTACCTGGAACACCTGTGCCTTGTGCTGGAGCAGATGGCAAGGCTCCAGCAGCTGTACCTGCAGCTGCAGACTCAGAGACCCTCTAGGGTGAGTGGTGGACAGGTACAGGTGGCCAGGTCAGGCAATGAGGGAGGCAGGGGAAAAGGTGGGACTCCGGGAAGCATGAATACCTTTTAAACAACCCCAGCTCTCTAATGAGTCTCTGATTGCCCTATCTCTCCTGTCTCAGGATCCCCAGGAGGAAGAATTGGCTCTTGCTCTTTCATCATCTTCACATAGCCCAGACAATAGGATGCAAGGGCACAAAGAGCAGCTAAGCCAGACAAGGGACCTAGGTAAGGGATAATGTGTCTTCCTCTACCTTCAGCGTGCCCAGGGTCCCATCAGCAGACCCCCTGAACTGTAGCTTAGCAGGATTGCTTCCTGTTTGTTTCTGGCTCCAGGTGATGTGGTTCTTTCTGAAGGTGCAGAGGCAGCTTCACTCCCAGAGGTAGGGGTGCTCATTGCCAACGCTCCCAGGCTGCCAGAGGCCTTGCTGGAATCAACCCACACTCTTCCATCCTCCCAGGGACACAAGGTAATGATGGAGATATTTGCAGCAGGTGGTAGAATGGTGCAGGATAATGGTACAGACGAGCATGGGGATGTGTAAGTGCCCCAAATCAGAACTTTAGGGAAATGGCAGGATTCCTGTTTGGAGCAGGTGACTTGCTCTGGCAGTGAAGTCCCTGGGAGCAGTGTTAATAATATATAGTACTCATATGCTTTGTGTGATGACCCCCGTTCTCTGTTCAGCAGGATGTCTCCCACTGGGACAAGGTCAAGGTCCTGCTCAATCGCATCCGTTGGAGGAGCCCTCGACTCCCTGAGCCTCCTGCTCCTCCTGATGGTTCTGGACCCAGGTGAGCCTTGTGCTTGGTCCAGGTTAAGGCAATGGGGAGAGTATGATGGGCCAAGATGTTGATACTGTTCTGTCCTGACAGCTGTCATCTTAGTCCCTATGGAATTTGTGAGACAAAGTGTTGGAGAAGCTGCTCCAAATAACAAAAGTAGTTAAGAAGCCCCATTTGTTGGTAAGAAGACTGAAGACTAGATGAGATTAGGGACGGTGGCTTTCCCAAAGCCACAACCAGATTACGGGGCATCATTTTATTTTTTTAATGGGGCATATCCTTATCTTCACCTGCCAAGCCCTCACTCCTTAACACTGAGATTAGGGGATGGTGAGGTAGACACAGAGGTAAATTGTTTTACTCTGTGAAGTGTGTTATGTTTGGAGGCTTGTTCTTTAGTAAGAAGCACCACCACTTTGACAATCCTAACTTCTCCCCAGGAAGTAAGCAATGCTTTACAGTCCTGGCTTCTTCTTTCTAGTCTAACTTTTCCTTTACCTTTTTGTAGGATGGAGTTCACGAACCTCTCTGAAAGGATTCAATACCACTCCCACCGGAAGACCTTTATGCCAACACTGGTGGTTAAGAAACCACGAGCAAAAAACCTTTCTGTATGACCTCTTGGTGTGCCTGGTGACCTTGGGTGGAGGGGATTTGCCATGAAGTCCCATCACCTTTTGGCTTACTGCTGTGTCTCTGCACTGCCAGGAAAAGCTATTTGTGCTCGCTCCTCTTCAAGGTGAGGGCCAAGTCCTTCTCTAAGAAGCATGGCCAAGGAGCCCTGGTTCCCTGAGAGATTCTCAAGTGCAGTTCCGGCCATCTTCCAGGGTTCTTCCTCCTTGTCAGAAATCTCTGGGCTCAGGCAATGTGAAGGGACTTATTTATCAGGTGCTCCCAGAGAGTGTTTGGCACGGTAATATACCAGCATGTTGCAGATGTATGTTTATGCAATCTTTGGTGGACTATTGAATGCCTGGATTCAGTCATCTGAGGGAATCATGTATCCAGAAGGTTGGTGTTTTGTGAGTAACCGTGGAAGGACGGCACTGATCTACATTCCACAATGGACAGTTACTGACGTGGATTTCTAATTTCTTCCTCATACCTGAGACCGCAGTCCTGGGACAGAGAACAACACTGCCTTGGGGAACTTTGTATTGAGCCATGGCCCTGAAGACTCAATGGCCAATGTGGGGAAGATGAAGCCCAATGTGGAGAATAGCAAATAACTTTCAAGGTCAATTCTAAATTGCTGTGTTCTCTCCTGGAATTTAGACTATGGCACCATCTCTTAATTTGTGAGCCATAGCTTCCTGCTTGGGATGATGCCGGCCTTACCTACCTCATGAGCTTGTTAGGATAAAGTGACATTAAAATATCTCAGTGTGTGCTGTGACTGTTAAGTGAATAAAAAAGTGTGCTGCTGGAGGCAGACAGGAATGGAATGATGGGAGGAAGGTCAGAAGTTAAGGGAGGGTGGCAACTGTTAATTGATGTGTGAATAACCAGATTTCTGGCAAGAGTTTCAGTAAGTCATTTAATTGAGGTCTAGTACACTTCATATTTGAGAATTTGGGCATGGGTTTCTGATACGCTTACCCCTTGCTGGTGGTGCTGTCAATAGCAGGGCAGTGATAGAGATGCCCGTCATTGGCTTAAGTCAGAAGAATGCCTGCTAGAAACAGCCCCTAAGTAGCATGCTCCTCCTCCAGTCAATGGAGGCGCTGCTTCTTTTGTTGCTGAAGTTTTGGGGGTTGGTAGAGTACAGCAGGTGTGTGAGTAATAGTTCCTTCCTTGTATTTGAGGGAGGGGTCCAGTTCCAGTCTCCTTGAAACCAGGAACCAATGCTCTGAAGCTTTCTTTTCTAATGGGACACTAGAGAGAGGACACCACTGAGCTCGGCTTCCAAATGCATTATCAGATCTGGGAAGGCGCACTTCCGTTCCACAGTTGGAGCGGGATGGCTGGCTGGCGTGGGGGAAGGGAGAGGTCGATGGAGAAGAGGGAGGTACCATATCCGGGAGAGTGGCAGCTT